GCCTCAAAATAACCTATACGTATTTATATTATCTGGAAAAAGACGTTTGATGCCTGGTAGATCATTGCTTCTCACACTATGTGCACCAATTCAAGCACCGTATGATATTGCTCAATTGTTACCCCCTTTAACCAAATGCAGTATATTCTAACACTGCGACTTGATCTGTCAGCAGCAGTAATAGAGTCTGTAAAATTTGCAGTTTTATATATGATATACTGTAGCTTGAGTCACGTGATACCTTCGTGCAATGGCTCTCGTTTGTTTTGATGGTAATGAACACAATGGCTCTCGTTTGCTTCCGTTTGTTTGCTTAGAATTTATGTAAATTTTATTTGAGTTGCCTGTTGCCACACCGTGACCAACACGCAAAGTGTCTGATCAATAGCCGTTTTCACATTAGTCTGATAACAGACCTACGTTTCGGCCGCCCTAAAATTCGCGAGTCGACGGAAAGGGCGAAACGTAGGTCCAGGGCGAAGGGAGAGAGGGCGTGGAAACGCCAATACATCGATCGTCCCCATCCGTGATGCGGGTTTCGCGGTGAGGGGTAAGACGTTCTAATTGTAAATAAATATGGCTATACTACGCGTATATGACCCATCAGAAGGTATGCTGAAACTATTGCTTTATAAAATATTACTTGTGTTAAATTTATATGTTTTTGTTACTTTTAGCTAGCTATTATAAGAAACTTAAAGATAAGATTTAAGTAACGAAAAACTTTATTTCGGGTGTTATTTTATTTCTATACTCTGTTTAATTTGGCATTTAAAAATGGCCGTCGAAATGTTGTAAGAGAGTGTTAGCGCGCACTGCTTCCTGATAAAAAACCAATGATTTCCAAAACCTAAATTATAATTTGTTATTAAGTTCTGATGAAAACCTTTGCGTAGACTAAATTATAGAGTGAGCAAACATGAGACAGATAGGTTTTGAACCTTTCAAAGTTCGAGGTCGCATTGACAGTTGAAATAGTACCAAAGTCCAAGCTGAAATGTGCAACTTTATCGTGTATATTTTTGTCAATTTTGTTTACTGGCCTTTGTTAAATTCACTTGCAATGGCTCGACATAAGTTACAACATACAAACTGAGCAGAGCCCATGAAAAAGCTATCCATACCCCTACAGTCATTCAGCTTCCTTGCTATTTAAAAGTTGTTGCCCATTAGTTGAAGAATTAAGAATTGCTATTGTATGCGTTTGTTTGCACTTCCTTTCCTGAAAAAAGGCTACAATATTAAGGCTAAATAGCAGAGAAATATGACCCAATAATCCATGCAATTTAAAAATATCTATCAATGATTTGAGGAATTAAATCTAACAGGCAACCCATAATTTAGTGAAAGGTCTTGGGATGGGTGTACTACAAAACTATACTGACTGAAGTTTTGGAAAAATTTAGCCAACTTTTGAAGGATTTTATTATGTCCCGTTCACATGAGACTGGAACGAAGTCAATTAACCATGACCATTTCGTTTTGGTCATAATATTATAAATTAATAGATGTTTACATGTCCGGTCTCAAGTCATTCCGCACCCGTTTAGCCACAGGAGGCCCAGGCTCGATTTGCCCGCGCCCGCCTGTGCCTTCCTTATAACGAGGGAAGGAAGGAAACATTGAGACCAAAATAGCCCAGACTGGCATATGTCACACGAAACTATCCTCGATTTTTCGCCTTTAATGTATTTCTTTCACAATTAATCGATATCCCCTGCAAGAATGATACCGTATAACTCTCAAAACAACGATGCTTTAATCAAAGAGCTTAAATTCGCTCTGAAATCCGTGAGGGAATAACAAAATTCGCCCAAAATATATCCGCGTGCCGGGTTTGCTGGACAAAAAGCGGAAGTCGTTGAACAAACTCAAAATACACTCAACCCTGATTGGACAACGAAAATCAACAAACATTTCAAATTTCTGTAGTCAGTAATGTAATATAAATTTGAATCAAAACAATTAACAAATGTTGTCGGGGGGAAACCAGTGCAAATCTAAATATTTAAATTTAAGAAGTTTAGTCAGTATAATAACGTTTGTGAATTGTTTTGATTCAAATAATCAAATTATTACAGTACTGTTCCAAGTACTGTCCCCCTTCCCAGTGCCAGTGGAGAGAAATTTGAAATGTTTGTTGATTTTCGTTGTCCAATCAGGGTTGAGTGTATTTTGAGTTGTTCAACGACTTCCGCTTTTTGTCCAGCAAACCCGGCACGCGGATATATTTTGGGCGAATTTTGTTATTCCCTCACGGATTTCAGAGCGAATTTAAGCTCCTTGATTAAAGCATTGTTGTTTTGAGAGTTATACGGTATCATTCTTGCAGGGGATATCGATTAATCGTGAAAGAAATGCATTAAAGGCGAAAAATCGAGGATAGTTTCGTGTGACATATGCCAGTCTGGGCTATTTTGGTCTCAATGTTTCCTTCCTTCCCTCGTTATAAGGAAGGCACAGGCGGGCGCGGGCAAATCGAGCCTGGGCCTCCTGTGATTAAATAGCTATTTTGGACAAAGTTCGTCACAACATTCTTTGAATAGGATATAAATAGTTATTCAAGATCTAATTAGTTTGCTATTTATTAGCTATTTTAACAATGGCTCCAAAACTGAAACCAAACATAGTTTAAAAATATCTATTTAATAGCTATTTTGGACAAACTTCATTACAACGTTCTATGAATAGGAATTAAATAGCTATTTAAAATCTAATTAGTTTGCTATTTATTAGCTATTTTAACAATGGCTCCAAAAATAAAAGCAAACATAGTTTAAAAATAGCTATTTTGAACAAAGTTCGCCACAACTTTCTATGAATAGGAAATAAATAGCTATTTAAAATCTAATTATTTTGTTATTTAATAACTATTTTAACAATGGCTCCAAAAAAATAAGCAAACACAGTTTAAAAATAGCTATTTAATAGCTATTTTGACCGACTTGTATACTCTCAATAGGAATTAAATAGCTATTTAAAAACTATTTGTATAGTGAGATTCCGTCAATTACTCTTTCAAATAGGATTTGAATACCTATCTCAAAGCTATTTTTTGGAAAAATATAAATAACCTATATTTTAAATAGAGTGTAAATAGTCATACACTATTTTATAAAATTTGATAAATAGTAATAAAATAGTCATATTTTTGAAAAAATAGGGAAAAAATAGGGCTAAATAGAGAAAAAATAGGGGAAAAATAGGTTATAAATATGTCTGTTTCTACAAGGGGGGTAATTATAACCCCTAAAGGGATAAGAAACGGCCCTTTTTCAATTTACTCTTACACCAGACAATTTTGGTCGTAAAAGTGAAAAACAGTTAATCACCTGGGGGTTATAAGACCAGGAAAAGATTAAAACATGTTTGACTCAATAGTTCCTGAAACTGATAGATTATTACTTTATCTAATACAGTAATATTTTATGCATATAAATAAAAATGGACTCCCACACCAAAAACATTTATTCTGTCTGAACAGCTCATGTTAATTGTTTACTTCTCTATATTATAACTCTGTATACAATATGTAGGTCTCCTTTGAAGTACCAAATGCCAATAACAAAACATTAACATAACACAATCATTGAGAATTTTAAAATTTTGCCTGGAAAGATTACAATTATGTATAGGTTATTTTGAGGCAACGAGGGGATATGTGATTTATTCACCGAGGCGCACAGCGCCGAGGTGAATAAACACATATCCCCGAGGTGCCTCAAAATAACGTACTTATTTTTCACACTGCGAGGTCGCGTTAATGAGTTAGAAAAGAAATCATTCTCAATGCCATATTGCTTTTGCGATGTCGTTTTTTTCTCATTTTTTGTGCTGCAAAGACATTGCAGGTGAATATTAGAGGGGATTATTAAACGGAAATTGATTAGAGGGGAATATTGAATATATTCCCCGACAAGAACAAAGGAAACCGAGCAGGGTGAAAAATAAGGCAAAAAATGTAAAATTTCAAGTTAATTAACTTATGCAAAAATTAACTATAGAGTAACATAACAATAATGTTTGCAAATAAAGTACATATAAAAGACAATGTGACAGGGCATTTTTTAACTATATAACTGGGGGGGCCAAAGCCCCCCAGCCCCCATGGTGGCCCCCCCCACTCAACCATTTTGGCCCCCCCAGTCAAAGTCCCTTTTCTCTAAAATATAAGCAAAACATGAAATTTAGAAGGGAGGTTTGATATTCTAGTAACTGAAATTTGCTTTGTGAATCTTATGTCCTGTCTTTTATGTTTAACTCATTAAGTCTCATTGCGCCCCCATGCGCCCCCATGCGCCCTGGAATTGGGAACGGGGTAAGTCTCATTGCGCCCTCATGCGCCCTGGATGACACGTCAACTTCCGGGCACGATTGTCTAGCGCGTATTTATCGGGTTGCCTAGCAACGGTCACGAGTATAAAGTGCAAAATTCGGGCTTTCAAACGATACATCATGCGAGAAAATTGATCAAAAGTTTGCGAAGATTTTCGATTTTAAAACTCTATTTTTTTGCAAAACCTGTGACAACCGCAAAGTGTCACAAGATAGGACTTTGCAGCAAGTTTTAAGGATGAAAAAGAAGAGGTTTTTAAAGTGTTTTACATATAAAATATATTGTAAAACATAAGGGAGTGTGCATATGTTTCAAGTCAAGTTCTTGTCCAAATCAAGTCGCGCGATTTTCAGCCAGAAAAACAGCAATTTCTTTCAATCTAACGGAAAAGTGAAGTGGGAAATCGCAAGAAACATGAACACTAAATCCAAGTGAGTAGTTACGATTTTTTGAGCGTGTTTTTGAATGAAAATACCTGGCATGTTTTCATGAAATACGATATAGCATTAAAGCAAGTTCAATCTAGTTTAAAACTAAGTTTTTAGAAGAACTTTTCGTGCATTTTATGGCATGATTTCGACTGTTTTCGTGACCCTACTGTTGGTCGTCTTGCTCAAGTTGTTATTTTAGCTGAAGTACTTTCAGAAGACAGTAGGTTCAACTTGTCATGTGCGTATATACATTTTTGGCAAGAAAAATTTCGAGTAAAACCGCATTAAAACTAAGTAGAATACTCTACAATGAATACTATATCTGTTTCTATAAACTTTGTCTCGAAACGAGCTCTCATTTCAGAGATAATGTGGTTTAAAATCAGTGTATTGAATTATGCCGTTACTTGGCGCGTGCGAATTCTGAACCTTCATGACAGGGATTTGAAAAGCTTCTAAAATACACTTTATTGCTTCATATATCCCCATAAAATTTTTAAATCAATAAAGCACATCATAAAACTAATGTACGCTCATTTTCTAAGAAGTACTCATCGATTACCTGAAGGAAAAGTTTAAAATAGGTCAGGAGAGTAGTTTACAAAATGCCGTTCTCCTCTGAAATGGCTTCTTTTGCGGGAAGCCATTAAATTTATGTACTTTCCAAAATTGTAATTTAGTCGCTTTTTTGGTCTCATTGTTCACTTATTTATCATGGAATTACTTCGCTTGAGCTCTTTTAATAATATCTGCAAGATACTTTGCTATTTGGTGAAATAAAAGCTATATTTTTAGCAGTTTATCTTTTGAAAACTGCATGCGCAACAAAGTGTCACCAATGTGTTTACTCTCGTCTGACAAACAACCAAAGATGAAATACTTTATTTCACTCTTTTATAGCAATCTAAAATGCCTAAATATTAGATTATTCATTTTATTTGAGCATACATATTATATTTTTATACAATTGGTCCTTGAAAAGGACTTATTTCAAGCTAGAGTCAGATTTCAAACTAAAGTCAGATTTCAAAAGAAACCGCCTGTCTGACATTTTACAGCAACCTACAATTTTGGCGCGCACAACATACGTTTTAGCCACAAATCCGTTGTTTTCTCAGCAGAAACAAAAGGAATTTCAGTTAAAATTCTTACCTGATGAATATTCAAAAGTGTTTATCTCTTTTTGACGACTTTCAGTGCTCTTAATAGCGAAATAAAAAGCCTTTTGTTTTGTCACCGCACGCTGCGTTTGAAAATGCCGGCTGTCAAAGTCAGAATTGAAAACACCTCAAACATTTTCTCACCTTTTTCATCCTTTGTTTATATTTTAATTAGTAATTTTTGTACTTCGTGTTTTTCCAAACATATTTGAGCTATTTAAAAACTTCAAAGAGGTACAAACACTGTGTTTTTGGGTTACAGAGTTTTTGGGACTTGAACAACAAGTTCTGAAGTTCAAGTTCTCCATTGTAAACTAGATGTCCTGAGTGTGCCTGAGCTATGCCCAAGCAAATTTTTATAGCGTTTCATTATTTTGTAATTTATACCCTACAAGATGAAAACTAATTTGAAAATAAATGTGTACCAATCCAGGAATCAAAAAATATTTCTCCATTTATGTTGAGTTATTGAATTATTGCCCTTCAGATGTTGGGTGTCATGAAGAAACAAAATGTCAGGGACTTAAATTTACACAAACCAAGAATTCTCACCCAAAAATCTAATGATATATTTAAGTGTGGGAGCTCATTTAAAATAGAATTGATTAATCATTTATCATTTTAACCCACTGCAAAATTTCAAAGTTTTTTACAACATTGATCTTGAGATATGGGTATTTTTGTAAAAGCAGTTGACAGTAACTAAAATTCGCCATTTTCCTTGCAACTTGGGGAGTGCCAATGTTGCAACAGTCTGCAACTTAATGAGTTAATAAATACCTTATTAGATTTTAAACATTTCCCAGGCAGTGGATTGCATTTCCCAGACCCTATAGATTTGAGTTGTTGGACAAGTTAGTGACCGCAGGGGACAACAGGCCCTCAACTAAGTGTTTTATAAGGGGGGGGGGGATAATTTTGACCCCCCACCAAAAAAAACAATTTGATTTCGAAACTAGAAGTATTTGAAATCATATATACATATAATCAAATATCTGTAATCGATATTTTGATAACATTTCTCGTAATAATCCATCCTGACTCATGGATATCATAGACTCACAAATCGTAATGAACGAATTAATGAAAGGGCCTAACAAAAGACGTATAGAAGACTTTGAAAATGCCATTTCCAACGATTTAGAGACGCAAAATTTTCCGCTCTGTGCCAACCATGGTGGCGTTTCGTGGGAGTCGGGAACTCTAAGTTTATCAAGCTGGCTCCCTAAGTGACAGCCAAGTTGTGGTATCTACATAAACATACTATGCAAGTACTTAACTGAAGGTTCAGTCTATATCTACAGCATAATG